AAGACTTTCAGTCCCGTTCTGCAAAGGCCTCCAGCTGAGTAGCAGCTTAGTATCCATTAATGGTCTCACTGTGGAGAAAACCGGGCAATGGAAAAAAGCAGCGGCCACTCAGCACCCACACTGTAGAAAAAAGAAACACTGATCAATAAGTGCTGCGTGCGGTTCGATAAGTGCATTGATCATCGCGCAAACAAACACATCACAACCATAGCGGGAATAATAGTGCTGGGGCAAAGTAAATTCTTTTCAGCCCGACCTAATGTGAGTGTACTTAGGCTTGTGTTCACCCGCCCTCCAAGCATCAGTCAATGAACATTTGAAGTACAGACACTGATGCTAAAATACACTGAAAAGAAACCAGTTTGACATGTGTGATGTTTCTGTTGATGCCTGCAGGTACTATTCTTTTATCTTAAACAATGTCACGATGCAGTGTTTTTTCTTTTACTGTTAGAAGTCTGTTAGCTAGAGAAACATGCACAGTGCAGTAGTCTCTATGATTATTGTCTAAATATGAATGAATACAAGGTTTATTGCCCCACCCAAATGTTTCTCTCAGACCTGAGCAACACTTTTTGCTCATTATCTTGGCTCGGCCTTCAGCTTTGGTTTTGTTCAGTCTTACTGCTCTGCAGTTTGCAGCTTTGCATTTCTAAAAACTGACTGTAGGCTGTACTGCTTATCCAACTCCAAACAGCAGAGAAGTTAACAACTAGCTTTAAAACATTGCAAAGCTTTTAGGATTTAATGCATTTTCCTGAAGAATTGGGCCAAAATCCAAAGGAAAACAGCATTTTTTTCTGGCCACATGCTACTTTATGAATGGATGTTCAAAGCTACAAGCTATGGCTTGCTGCAGCTCGGGAGGGCGAGCGGGTTATCTGCTAATTTGGAGGCTGGCAGTTTGATTCTTCGTTACTCCAGTTGCATGCCAAAGGAACCCCCAAGTTGCTCCCCGATGCATCCAATGGAGGGTGAATATGTGCAAATGTTAGATAAAAAAGTGCATGGGTGAATCAGACATGTTGTATAAAGTGCATTGAGTGCTCCAGTAGTGTAGAAAAGTGCTGTATAAGAACCAGTAAATTTATAATGTTTGCTGTATTGTTTTAAAAGGAGTAGTATGGTTGTACAGGAAATACAGTTAAATGCATAATTATCTGGACAATTTTCAGAGGTTTTAAAGAAAAGACAACATAGGATTTGATTTTCAAACTGATATATATTATGATGTAATCAATGCAACGGTGTGGTGTTTACTAAAACTCTCGGATGAGTTTGAAGCTTTGTGATTTACACCTCAAGGTCAAGGTCAGAGGTCAGAAGTCAAGTTTTCTGAAAATCGTGTGAATGCAATAACTTGAGGATGAAGTCACCTAGGATTTTCAAGTTGATACCAAAATCTCAGATTAGTTTAAAAGTCTGTGACATTGACTGCAAGGCCAGAAGTCAGAGTTCAAGTTTTCTGAAAATACATTTTTTTTTTTCAGAGGATCAAAGGTACTTGGACACACTTTCTGTAATTTCAAATATATATATAAATCGTTTTTAATACATTAAAATATTTTGTTAGTTAGCTATTGAGATGCTCGGCCTGGGCTTTACTTCTACCTTCAGGTGCTGCTTGTGTGGGGCTCTCTCTGCATTTGGTTTGACTTTACTGGGTTGAGATCAGAGACTAAGGCACTGAAGAATATCTGATTTCTTTGCCTTGAGAAACGTAAAATCTTAATTGTCTGTAGGTACATGACATCACCAAATACAGTCCATCTCAAAGAGTGATGCCGCCAGCTTCCTGATTTCTTTGAGTCTGCCTTGTTGCACCGAGACACCTTGCAAAGTCCTTGAAGTTTTGATTTGACACTCACCTTTTTATCTTCGAAAATGTGACAAAAAGGCTCGTCCCCTCTGAGCGTCGGTGGCCTGTGAGTGACACCAGTGGATGTTATATGACAGGAGAATTCTACCTAATTACAGCACTTTCAAAGACATCTATTGCCGTTGCAGCTGAAATGCCTTTGCTGAGTCACAGATTCCCCATAGATAAATTCCACGCTGTTTTTGCTACAGGGCAGAAATAAAAAAAATAACACACCCGTGGCCCCTTTAAACACTTTTTACCAGTCGTTTCCACAAAGCACGTTACAGGGGGAGATAATCCAGTGGCGGTAGATGGCTCGCTTCGAGGTATTTCGGCGATGCTTCATGGTTGGGTCAGGCAACAGCTGCTGGAGGTGAGATATCTAGGATGAAGTCCTCTCCCCAAACGACATCAACTCTATTTTAATTCTCCACGCAGCATGGTGCATTGACACCTGGGCTGAACACATGGTTAAAATTAGGGCCGCTGTAGGAGACCTTGACAAACAAGTGACTTTGACTGAATTCATCAGGGCATCCCTGGAGTCACAAAAGTGTTTTAGGAAAGTTGTATTAGTTTTAATTGTCCATATGGCCTTATTTCAGTTTTTCAGATTTCCCTAAAATGGTCTTCCTCATTGTCACACATTGTGCCATCTATAGCGTATTTTATGGTAGCGTCATTGTCTCTAATGTGTTAAACTGAGCTAGATTTGTCTGTGTCTGGAAGGAGCTCAGTGTTTTTAAAAATTCATGCTTTGGAAAAGTAAAATATCACAGCTTAAATAGTGTCTTTTTTATTATATTTTCACAAAGAAATCCCAGCACCCGAACGTAAAAGTTAGAAAAGGCATAAAAGGCTTCGCTTTTTCATTTCACTAGATAAAACCACGTTTCGCAGAATGAAAGGTTGTGAATGGAATTTATTCTTGGGATTTGGATGTGAGTTGGTGGCTGTGAGCAAAATCGGAATCAATTAATCGGGCATATACGAGCCAACTTGCCAGGAAGCAAGTATCTGTTGTTTTTGTTATTGATGCATTAGCAGAACAATCATTGGCCCTAAGTTCTTTTCCTCCCTTTGAGTTAAACTTGGAAAAGAAAAGGAAAGCAAAAAAAAAAAAAAAAGCTGGAGCAATGGCTTGAATATTTTAGGTTATGGATGAACTGTCGAGTGTCTGACAAGACCCACTATATAAACTTTGAACACAGGCTCTCCGGGACACATCGATAGTTGTAAATATTTAATTTGGTGCCTCCGACAATGCATGCCCACTGAAACAAATCTTTACCAGATTGAATTCAAGATAAATAGCACGGAAATATCGCAAAAGCTGATACACAGACTTTTATGCTATCATTTTGTCAGGTTTGCCTCTTTGGGGCTTTCGCTTCACGTATCGCATATTAATTTATTTGAAGTGTCAGCAATTTTAAGAAGTAACAGAAGCTGCGTGCCCCTTTATACTGCGTGTGCAGTTCTAATTAAGATGGGAATGCATTCATGGACATCATAAACACATATTTCTAGTGGTTAAGTTTGACTTTATTTGTATATTACAAAAAGGCAGATTAGTGCGAGACTGTGAATGCATGGATTGTAAAAGCAGCCATTATAAAGTACATGAAAGCTTTAAGTGAAAGGCATGATCTATTGTCATGATATCTTTTTGGATTATAAGGCATTTGTGCATGAATAGGTTCTAATCGAAAAGCTGCTTTTGTGAAAAAGCAGAACTACACAATATTACTATGTATGCTATATGTACACATCCACACAAACATGTCTCTGTGCAGATTATTATACAGTTATTCTATGCAGGCTGTGCTCTCTTGCAGTCTGGACTGAAATGACTTTACTGCATTTTATTGAAATGTTAATGTAGTCTCAGTATGATTTTTCCAGCTATAATAGAAATTGTGTTTTCTAAAGACCTTCTTTTTAATATATACAGACATCATTTATAGCGAAAAAATAAGAAAACTTGCATATTCCATTTGTCACTTTGATAAAGTCATTAAAGCTAAAATTGTTGTGTTTGTTTGCCGATATTTCTACAATGTGGTTAATTGTCATTATTTAAATTTCCAAACAGCTACTAAATTTGAATGGATGATTTCTGCAGCGATGCTCTTATGATGTGGAAAAAAATAGCGATCGCATCTTTTCTTTCTTAGCATGAACAAAAGATCAACACGGGCTTAATTTTTTTACCTTTTATTCATTTAAATTCTCAAGTGTTAAAGCAAGAACAAAACATTTATAATGTCCTTTGGTGGGATTTTATTACACTTTATTAATACTGTATATGTAAACTGATATTCTTTGATGCCAGCACGTTGCCAATACAAAGGAAAATCAACTGCACAACGAAAAGTAATAAACAGAAAAGGTGAAAAAGGAAGTGAAAATAAAAGAGAAAGAGAGAGAAAAAACAACCCAACTGCTTCTGCATTTGAATGACTTAAATAGATACAGGTTGCCTTTTTTTCAATCACAGTTCGGCAAAGATACAAAAGGACTACATGACTCTCTTTTTTTGTTGTTTTTTTGTTGTTTTGTTTGATCTGTCGAGAAAAGAACTTGCAAATACACTGATGGTTTTCTATGCACTTCTCGTCTGCTCAGGTGAATACTATCCCCTGACCATGACAGTAGGGAGAGTGGTGGCTCTAAGATAGAAAAAGAATCAGACAGCTTCACTGGAGTATCTTTTCGGAAGAGAGGAAAGGGGGACGGGGGATGGGACGGGGGATTCTTACATGTGCATCACTAACATTGGACAAAAGAATCTTTCAACCAACAAGGGTTTTACAGAGTAACGTTCACGAAAGCACAGGTCAGTGGCGGCGTCTGGGGGTGGAACTAGGATCGGAGGGAAGGGAGGGGGATGAACGAGAGGATGAGGCCGAGCTCGAAGGAGAGACAGAAAGATAGAGACAGAGAGGGATCAACGTGGGCAAGGTTTTGTGTCACAATGTGGCAGTCCGGACAGATTTCCTTCTATCCACAATGCACTGACAGCAAAGAATGCGTCCTGGGGTTTTTCACCTCTTTCTGTTTGTTATCACGCTGAAGTGTAACGGGTTTGTTTCTGAGGCCAGTCTTTGCCATTCAGCGGGGACAAGTTTGCTTTTTTTTGTTTTTTTTGTTGTTTTTTTTTTTCTTCGGCATCAGTCCAGCCAACATTAACAACGCACAGAAGCATCCCAAAGGGGTCGGCGGCCACCGTCGGCTTGTGCGAGAGCTGATTGGTCGCAGCTGTTGTTGCCGTGGCAATATGAGAAGAAGTGAACGAGTCTGTCATCTTTAGTTATCTCCTCTCAAAATCGAAGGGGGCTCGTGTACTGTACCTGGTATGGCTTTTGGGGGGAGGGAGAGAGGTAGGGTAGGGGTCGGGGTGGGACTCACCATTCTCTGCTCATTTTACTTTTGTTAGGCAAACCCTCAGTTACTCATATTTCTAATAATATCTGTATTTTTTTTAGAAGTATAGTTTTTCTTTTTAATTATTTCTATATATTCTTTGAAATTAAATGAAAAGCTTCTGCACTCATTTGACTGGCACATTCCCTTTATTGTCAGTGCGAGTGTCCATTGAGTCTGGAGGCGGAGAAGCTCAGAACATTACAGTCCAGAAAGCTCATGGTTGTTCTTTTTTAAATGGTTGTTGATTATCTGAAAGGGGAGGGGGATGAGCTTGGGTTAAGGTGGAGAAGGTGGGAAGTGTGCGACTCCCACCAGGTAATGGGTCACTTTAGAGCACAGCGGGCCGGCAGGAGACCCCTCTCAGCAGAACCGAGCCTAGCAGCAGGAGCAGCAGCAGCCTGGAGGTGGATGGAGGTGTCAGGTGAGCCTGGCCTGAATCTGGGCCCCCACAGCCTCCCAGCTCTGACTCGCAGCGGCGCTTCTCACACAGCAAACCTGTATAGCCCGTTGGACAGCTGCAGCGGACGTTGCTGATACACGTCCCACCATTTTGGCAGCGCAGGAGTTCGTTGTCACACACCCGGGCTGCGGTGGAAGCAATGTAAAGACAGGAAAGACGTGTGAGAATTTAGCACACAAACACGTGTTTGGGTGACACTTTACTTGAAGTGTGTTCTGGTGCATGAAGGAGATTCTCTTCTCATTAGCTCCCATTATCAAACATCACAGCAGAAGCTTTGAAGATGGCCAATTATGGAATCAAAGACTGACAAAAAGTGTTCTTCAAGTAAAGCGTTGCCACATTTTATTTCATTTTTGATGTCTATGAAATCTTAAATTTGAAAATATGCTTATTTATGGTCTTGATAGTTACAGTACAGTAAATATAGAGACAAGGCTTAGCCCAAAGACTGGGAATTGGGTTATACTGTCCTAATTGTGTAGTCTATAATTTCATGGGTGGTTATTTGCCCATAATCTATACACCAACACATGCTGTCATTAAATTACAGTAAAGTAAATGTAGTTAGATTCGGTAGCCTAAAACCATTAATCTTCCATGTAGCTAGCATGATCTACAACAGTGTACCTATATGAAACTGCATTCCTCATGAGGGGCTTGGTCTTTATAGCCTCACATATCTAACCCACATTTAAGTTCTTGTTTTATACGGGAACGCTGCCGTATTAAGCATTTTGAGAACCATGCTAGCTGCTGTGCTGGTGGCTACTGCACGGCTAAAACTCATCACTGTTCTTGACAACAAAAACAAGTCTAAAAGCAACCTAACAGAATTTACAATCAGTACACTGCTGAATTAATCACTAACTCATCAACATCCCCTCAAGTCTTTGCATAAGAGAAACTACTGACAATCTGTGCAACCAAATAGTTTTTAAGCTAACTGCGTACTAAATGAAGTAGGGCAACATAACTTCCCTTAATGAATTGTGGGTCGACTCAAGCAAAAGAGTCAGATTTCTTCCACTATGGCCACTCAGACACTAAACATCTCTCACAATGGCCTCCATCTACATTTGCATGTACCAAATCCTGACACTACATGACCCCACACTGGCAAAGCGTGTAGTTTTAGGGAAATGGCTTCTATAACAACTGAAATGCATAATAATTTTAAGTTGTAACATCACCCCTTAATAAGTAAGTTTCATGGGTGCTGGTGGGCAATGCTCTTTGTCTTTGAAACCTTTGAGCACATTCAGATTAGCTGGCACAGCCTGGTTTTGATCTATTTAATGTGCAGAGGCTTAGATCTCTTAATAAACTCAAGAAATCAAATAAGCATATTTTCCAACATGTTCAAGTATTGCTTCAACATTTGGCACATTTTGGATTGTAAAATGCATGAAATATAGATTATATGTCATATCTAATAATTAAATCTAGTAAAATTATAAAATTAAATTAAAGTATTAAATGAAATTGACTATTTTATATAGGAAAATAATTAAATGTGATGTAAAATTTGAACAAAACACGTTTGTAAGACAGCGAAAATGTTGTGTAATGTTGTTGCTTCGAGCTGTGGTAAAGATGTACTGTACACAGAGGCTGAGATTAATCTTAGGCGCTATACAAGTGCTAATAAACTCTAATGAATATATACACATGTAATTAAAAGGTGGTGAACACTGGCTTTATCTTTTAATCACCTCTTAAAGAGTATAATGCCACTCGAAATTAATTTCACAGTCTTTTTTCATCATTATTACTTAAATGACTCTGAAACATTTCATATATTCCCCATCAGTTTAACTTTACAGCCTCTAATCTTTAAACAACACCAAATTTCAGATTTCAGGACATTTTTTCAGCATCTAAAAAGACGCGTCTATTTGTTTAATACCAAAACCTTATTCAAGCCCCATCAAATCAGCTACGTTACAGCACAGAAATCCACACTTTCCTCAAAGCCTGCGAGGCTTTCCCCAAACACCACTGACTTTAGACAAACTGAACGTCAGGTGAAAATTGGTGTATATTTAGAGCTGGGACACCGAGGCCACTCTATTCCCAGCGGAGGCAAGCTGTCAAGCAAGCTGGAGGCAAACAAAGCTGCGCTGCACAAACTAATAAACCAACAGAGACAAATAAACACTGATAAACACAGGGGCCACTTCTGCCCATTTCAGTCCTTTATAGGAGTGGAAAACAATGCGGTGAGCAATCTATGAACTCTATGGGACATAAATATCACAAACAAATATAAGACCTCTCTCCTAATAATCAGGATTGGATGCATGCTGTCTCACAGGAATAGCCAAATAGAGCTTTGATGGGAGCCTTGTTAAGAAACATTGACTGTGCGAATCCTATTTGTGTTTCGTGGGAGAAAAGAGAGCTGCTGTTTGGCTCAGTAAGTTTCGCTCCAGGCCACAGCTCACCAATTACCATGCACAACTACATCCAAATAAGACATCTGAACTCTATCTTTGTTCCCCCTGTTTTGTTTTTTTCATCTGACATATCAATTGCATGACCACCTCAACCACTCAGGAGAAACTACAGTAATGAGTCAATATGAGACTGCAAAACAGACTCTATGGAAAGCCTTTGTTCACTTTGATTGCTCTCTGTGATGAGGCAGCGGCTAAACTTGGTAATTAGATTGTCTCCTCGAGATGACAAGGAAGAGCGATCAAATGTATTAATTAAAGAATCATGAGGCCTTGATATGATCAGTACACAGGAGAGACTCCTTTAATTAGACAATAACCTTTCGTCTCGTCTATCTTATCCTTCCTTGCTGTCACTATAGAATGATAACGCGAATTTCTAAGAATATTCAGACTGGCTTTTATTCAGAATGTGCTCTAAATTGATTAGAAAAATAATTGGAAAAAAGACGTTGGACACGGTTGTGAATGCCCACTTTTTTGGACTAAAAATCTCAAACTATCCTAGTCTGATAAGATATGATCACGTCTTTAAAAAGGCACATCTTTAAGGCCAAATCAGACTTGCTGTTTGATATAAGCAACGTCGGATTTAGTCTATGTTCAGGAAAGTAATCCATACTTACAGACAACCACTTCCTAACTTGTTGATTAAAGCTTGGAACATTTTGAAGGTGATATTCGATTAATTTGTCTAAATTTGAGGTAAAAATTACATTTTCAGCAATTTGATTGGTTGTTGATGGGTTAGGCTTCAGTCACACTGGACTTTAGACTAGTCAGTGACCCCCATTGGAAAAATGTGTATCCCTGCTCCAATCAACATGTTTGAAAACATACAGCGTTTACTTACTAAGACAAATAGTCTCTGATTTCACTGTTTCAATTCAGTGTAATTCAGTTGTAATTTTATAGCTTCAAATCACAACAGCAGTTACCTCAAGGTGCTTGATATTGTAAGGAAAAGACCCTATCACTATATAGAGAAAGCCCCCAAAATCAGATGATCTCCCATGAGTAAGGTGACAGCGGGAAGGAAACATTCCCAGGCTCAAGGATGGGAAGTCATCTGCAGCTGCCAGCTGGGGGTGAATGGAAAGGAGGACAGCAGAAAGACTGCTTAGCAAGAAGCTTGGCAAGTGTTTGCAGACCGGAGTGTGTGTTCCCAGTCACCTTTCTCACTCAGGTGTTAATAGACCTCTCTGCATTGAATTGTACTTGTTATTAATCTCTGGCTCTCTTCCACAGCTTGTCTTTATCCTGTCTCATGTCTTCCTTCTCTCACCCCAACCGGTTGCGGCAGATGGCCCCGCCCCTTCCTGAGCCTGGTTCTTCTGGAGGTTTCTTCCTGTTAAAAGGGAGTTTTTCGTTCCCACTGTCACCAAAGTGCTTGCTCATAGGGGGGTCATGTGATTGGATTGTTGTTTTTTTCTCTGGATGCATTATTGTAGATTCTACCTTACAATATAAAGCACTTTGAGGTGACTGTTGTTGTGATTGAAAAATTGAATCCAAAACTGAAAAGATCATATAGAAGTTTTTAGTGCAGCACTGTATACCTCTTTGTGACTGATTTGCGACGGCCAGCAACCTCCCTCACCAACAGGCTGACAAATACATATTGTTGCCTAGCAACCAGCTGGGTACAGAGGGGGAGGCCTGCCTGAATGGGGTTTTTTACAGCAACTACCACCAACCTCCAGCAACCACAAATTTCTCCATAGCGACTGGTGGTTGCTAAGTGTTTTTTTTCTTATTTTCAGAATAATCCCATTAAAATAATTTTAAGAATCTTTCTGTTCAAAGGAAATTTTAGTTCATTCTAAAGGAAATTTTAGGTCATGGCTATTCCCTGGAAGCAGAGTGATTCATCAGCTGAAGGGACTATAAAGACAAATAGATAGTGATGATTAAAAAAAAAAACAAAAAAAGGAAAAAAGATCAATAAAATCATCAAGATGTAAAAAAAATAATGACAAACAAGAACGATCACGTTCAGTGTTGTAAGATTGAAAACACAGCAGAAGTAGGAACTTCTTGTCCCGCACCTTTATCTGATTTCATTTTCTCACATTAACCATTTTGCATTACTGCACATAAACAGAGCCGGCACAGGCAGTAAAAGACAAGATTTGTTGTGTTTGCTTTTGATATGAGTGATAATATTTAGAGAAGGGGCCGATGAACTAGGTGCGCCTGTCTGGGAAAGTGATGTGTTTGACGAGAGATTTAAGTTTTAATTGCATTTTTTTCCCGCTCTGCATGCAGACAGCGTCTCGTCAACGCACAGAACTCCTGCAGCAGCAGCGGGGATGCAGAAGAAGGTCGAGACTAAAAAGTTTTCCCACATCAGCCATAGAATCACTCAGTGGTTTTGGACTGACATTATTCTGGGGGTTTCTTTCCTACTTTAGAGGACATTTTGTGAAGTGAAAGCACTGCTATGGGTGCTTTTGTGGCTCATTTGTTGTTGGGGCGATGAATCAAACTCCAGTGAAAAACTTCACATTTGTGTTACTGCCAGAGCAGCAGAGCCTGGAATTTTTTCAGTGACCAAACAAACAAACAAACAAAAAAAAAAACAACCCAAAAAAGAAGAAGAAGAAGAAGAAAAATCAATCTCTAGGGGAAAACATCCATAGTCAGGAATATAGCAATACTATGCTATTCTTTTTCTCGATATGAGCATACTAATACAGTCTCTATGACATTTACAGCTAAAAGATCCCCCTTCTTTGGATGTTGCATTCTTTGAAATGCCACCATTACTTTGATCAATGTAGAAAAGTCAGTGCACAAGCAGTAAATTACAACCTCAATACAAAGGAACCTCTTTGCCTTTTATTTGTAGGCAAAAGATATTAAAGCAATCAAAGTATGTTTGTGCTGAAAACATTGAGATATTTGACCTTTTCGGAGACTGTCTTCAAATTCATGTGATGAGAATGTCTCTGAGCTGTTGTTTGAGTGATGTAGGAGAATTTTTATACCAAGTAGTTAAATCTTAAAGACCAAAAAATATTTACATGTTAAGACATTCTGGATTTTTTTGTGTTACTATTTTAATCAGGGAGAAGGTGTAGATGTAATTGAACTTCTTTTCAGACCCACATTACTATGCAAATCCCAGTGTTATACCTTTCAACGTGTCTGGAGCGGATCTTTAACTTTAGCAGCTTTTTAAGTGAAGTATTACTCAGACCTCTTGGATATAGAGTTTGAAGTTTTGAGAGCATACAAACACTTCAAACAGTAATGTTTGTGGATTTTCTGATCACTGCTTCATCTGACAAATACAAACGGATCTGCTCCGTGCTCACTCCCGCTGTGTGTGGCTTCCCATCTGTTTACCTTGGCGCCGCCTCTCTACGAAAACATTCTTTCGCCGTTTTAAACATTTTTACGTTAATTGCTTTTTTCTGCTTTTGTACCACTCAGCGTTCTCGGTACATCATTAGGTTCGGGTTGTGCGCCTCACGTTGCAGGTCATGCTAGGACGCCTGTCTCTCACCTTTTGTTTGAAGCAGATTTTTTCATGCTGACAGTGTCTTTGCGCTGTACACACAGAATATATTAGTACAGTCACAAAAAACAGCGCATTTTAATGAATGTCTTTCTGTGTCGAGAACTACTAAAAAAAGGAAGTGACTCATTTTACACTGAATTTAAATCACAATGCAGCAGACTTTAAAGCATTCGTTTTCTTAAGTTGGACGCTAACAAACACAGTATAAGCAGCGGGGGTGTCGCTAATTCGCTGTATACTCAATGGGAAACGCTTCTATCTGCTCGTGTTGTATTGATACAGTTCGCATAATGAAATCGTGACACTTAGTGCATCTCAGAAAGTTGTGACAAGTGTTGTAAGTGGCTCCTTCGGTGAAGCCCTTTACTTTAACCAATCTCATCTCCGTCCACAGCACCACAGATAAAACAGAACATACTGAGCGCACTTTGCCTGCCTTGCATGTTGAGTTTGCTGTTGTGAAAAAAGTGATACTTTGCCTTATATGGAATCGATTTTTCTCTGTGCTGTTTTAGTTACTCTAACAATATTGTAGGGTCTTTACTTTACAATATGAAGCACCTTGAGGTAACTGTTGTTGTGATGTGAATATTAAGCCATGTGTTTTAAACATGTTCACAATGATAT